ATAATTATTTTGGAAAAACTAATTATGATAAAACTGTTTTGTTGTATATTTAGCATTACTCAGTTAATAGCCAGTATATCCACCATTATTCTTGATTACTTTTTTATTCGTTTGGGCATGCTACTGATTAAAGTCTGACAGGTTTCTTTACGTATCTCATACCAAGTTTTTTGTATGCACTCCCATAACTGTTCTTTGTTAGAGAAAGATTGACTCGCCAAATTTTTTTTAGTTCTATCCATAGGTTTTATATTGGTTTTAAATCCGGGGATTGGCTTGTTCACTTCAAAACGTTAACATTATTATCTTCAAAATATTTTATAACCAGTTTGGAGGTATGTTTTGGGTCATTATCTTGCTGATATACTTAAGGTAATGGAAATTTTTTTCAGCATAGGATATCATGACATTTTCAAGTATTTCATTGTACTCCGACGCTGTCAATTTGTTAGTTGTCCGGTATATAGGACCTACTCCATACCAAGAAAAACATCCCCACACCATGACGTTTCAACCTCCGTGCTTGACAGTTTTTTTTTTTGTGAATCGTACGTGAAACTCCTTTCCTTTTTGACGACGCACATTTCTCTCACAATCGTTTCCAAACAAATTTACTTTCGTTTCATCGCTCCATAAAATGTTTCTCCACTTTTTTGTTCCCTCAGGTCCTGACCAATCTAAATGATTCTTTGCAAAATTTAACCTCATATCGAAATTTTTTGATCGCATTAATGGAACTTTCCTGGCTATACGTCCTGGTAGCTTGGCCTTTTGCAAACGAATGTGAACTGTTTCGGCACTTACTACATTTCCCATTCTGCTGCTATCACCTCCGACGGCTTGAATGGGTCCTTTTTACAAATAGTTACAATGTGGCGATCAAGAACTGTACTCGTTTTTTGTGGCCTTCCACGAGTCTTCCTCGTCCTCGACCTTTCCATTATTTTCCCAATTTCCCGAAGCGATTTTAATTACTTTCTGAGGTTTGAAACCAGCCGGGCTTCTTCAGCAGTGCAATGTGACTTCCGACCCATCTGATTAAAAAATAATTTAAGTTATCTGCAGCATTTTGAGCTTTAATGAAAGAAAACTTACCAATTCAGATAAAACAAACTTAAAAAACTGGATAAAATTAATTTTGTTTTCACAAAAAGCTAAGTTCACTTATGTGTAACTATTATATTGAGCAATTTTATTTTCAGAGAATTCACGCAAAACTAACACACTCAAGGGCCCCTTGACAGAATTTGCTACAGGCCTCGCGCTAGTTTAATGCGGCACTGCATCAGGGAGTTCTACAATCTTTATATGTATTAGGTATAGAAGGCACTCAGGGAAGTATTGATCCCATTTTTGATACACATAGTAACTCAGGAAAGAGTTCTCTCTGAATTGTATATCCCGATATTTTCGGTCAAAAGTCAACTATAGGAAATAGGCGTGCTTGTCCGATGTCACCAATTTTTATACCGTGACATAGGAAAATAAGGAGAATGTCACATACTAAATTTAGTGGATCGTCATCCTGATCATTTATATACTATAACACTATGATCGAAACTATTGTATCCTGTAGCAACAGGTTGCAAGAGTATAAAATTAAAGTTTTTGGAGTCGAGTATTTTTTATCGTACAATATATGTTTAAAATAAATCAGCAAGCATGAAAGTACTTGTCGGAATGAAAAATTAAACATTTCACAACATTTAAAGTGACAGTGTTCTTACTGGTTGCCTTTAGTTTTGTACTCACATACACCGTCGCAGTTGCTCTCCTACCGAAAACTGCTCTACAATGTCCTTTAACATGAACATTTGTGTATGTTTTTCATCCGAGGATATACTATTAATGATAGCAATTTATTTTTATTGAGGAATTTTGATTTATTAAGCATTATTTGTATAATGTAAAAATATTCTCATAACAAATATAAATACTCACAAATTTATAACAATATTAAAATTTTTTAAATATAATCTAATAACAAAATTAAATTGTTAAAATAACGCACACTGCACTTCCTGAGTCCTTTGGCTGCAACCTTCCTATTTGCCTTTTTCTAGCTGCTCTTGGATACAAGTAAAAGTTCGTTATTCTGTTTCTGCGGAGCAAGGAGTAATAACCATTAGAGCCTGTATATTTATGAACGTGTGTATACGTACGTTTATCATATTTGTTAGATGTATTAGATGTTTATTTTAAGAAAATTCTGGGTTTTACCAATTTTTTAATTAAAAGGTTTATTTGTAAATTCAAATTATAATTTCTTTGTAATATCATAGGAATTGTTGATGCAAATCTAAATATGCATGCGCATCGATATTTATAGCAATTTTTCCTATTCCTCTCATTGCGTGGTGTATTCTCTTTTCGAAGTTGTGTTTTTCGAAAATCCCTGAGGTGAAAACTAAAAATTGGTGCTCAATGAAATTTGATTTAGCATTTACACCTTCACTATTAATCACCTTCTCTGCTTTTCCAGCTGCATTTTCACTATGTTTGATGAGAATATTTGCTCTGAGTGAATTGGGTTGATTTAGCATTATTTTTAGTTATGTACCTTAAACTCATTGTGGGTGTGGAGTCACGCCCGCTTTTTAAAATTTTTAAAACCAGGAGATATTTATATTTAAGTTGAATTTCAATATGCCCGATTTTTACCATTTAGTCAATTAGGTGTTTCATATAGCATTGGGAATTGTAATTGCGTAAACTCATTTTTGTATGTAATCTCACATAAGAACGGAAGAATAATGTTACGTACCGTATTTGGTTGAATTTGGCCGATTGCTAACATATCTTAATTTTTAATCAAGCTTCAAAAAATCGATTTTTTTTGCTTAAATCGCTTTAAAAAATATCTAAGAATATGTCCCCAAAGTTATAGATGGAAATTCGAAATATTTTCGAAGCTAGAAGGAAAATAGGGACCGAGCGTATAGCAGATATATGAGCGATTGGGCAAAACTGACGCGCGATTTCTCGGTTTTTCATTTTTACGATTTGGCCGAATTGAGGCAAATTTATTATCTTTGACATTAAATTATCTTCTATTTAAACTAAAAAAACGAAGTCATGTTTGAACATATTTTTAAATAACATAAAGTGGAAAATTTTCGGCAAAAACCCAATTTTTTTTTTAAGTTTTAAAAAACTGTAGAATTTTACACTTTTTTTTAGAATCTTTTTAGTTTAACTAGAAGATATGTTATTAAAAAATATGAATCTATATAAATTTTTTGTTAAAAAAAATGCGACCTGCATCCGGCCCGCCGTCCGGCACATGCATTGGGCAATTGCTTCCCAAAAGCAGAAAAGATTTTGTAATCAAATAATGTGAGAATGGTGTTTAAATATATAACTATAAACACCAGAAATTTCGTTTTAATCAATTAGTTTTTGCCCTCCTAAAGATATCTTCAAAAAATCGATTTTTTGAAGCTTCTAAACCAAGCTTCCCCCCCTAAAGAACGAACGGTCCGACGGACAGACAGTCACACGGAACTTAAATCATCTTCCCGATCAGATCTATTTTGATTAGTTTTGAGTGTTACAATCAACCATTAGCTGTACAGAACTATTGTGGTCGGTTGCAATAAGTTGCGAAAAGATAAAAGAACAAATACAACACAATGTGTGCACGGCTTTCTTTGACTTTCTTATATATATATAGGGTTATATATATACATAAGTGATCAGGATGACGAGAAGGTCACTGTCACGTCCACAAATCGTCATCAACCGAAAACATATAAAGTGAGTTAACTAAGCACAAAATTCAAATATAAAACTGTTATTTAGCACAGAGGATTGTAGTAGCGGGGCTCCTTGTGTGCAAAATACTTTTAAAAAGCGGCGGTGGCCCCGCCGTTTGATATGTTTAATGTACATATCTACTCAACCACGAAAGCTATAACAATCAAATTAGCTGAGCGCAAATATTATAAGAACTGCTTCCAATAATGTGAAAATGGAAGAATGGAACCGGAGGATAATTCCGCTCACGGTAAAACGGTACTGTTAAAAATTACTAAAGGCGCACACCAGAGACGTTAAATTTTGCACCCGAGATGGTATGAGAGAGTTGTATAACAGCGATGTAAAATTTTTATGACGAGCGTGGCACCGTCCACTTTTTTATGAAATCCTATTTTTCGGGACCAACCGATTTGAGCTAAATTTAGTACGTCTTCTCACAGTGTAAAAATGGGTGACATCGGACTATAACCCCGCCTACTTCCTATACAATACAGTTTTAAATTCCACTTACTATCCTGTACACAAATCAACAAATAATTTATACGACGGGATACAATTTCGTACCAATAATTCCTTTTAAATATGGTACCTTATGTCAAAATTAAAAAAAGATGTTCGAGCCCTTAGGTACCGAATAGTTGACTTTTGACCAAAAATATCAAATATAGGAAAAATTCCACGTATATATATGAACTAGAGAAAAGTATGAAGAGGTATCCATTATTTTAGAATCACAGATGTTAATGTACAAGTACATCGAACACACTCTTTGTGTTAAACATTGTTTCGATTGCTGCATGTACCATATACACTGTGGCATTTAAAATATTTTCTAACTGTAATAATAGTATGTGTAAGTACGGTGTTCTAATAATAATTTAATTGGATAACGTTATATAACGGATGATTTAAAATTTACCTAAAAATAATAATAAGACATACAATTTTATACACCATTGGTCGAAACAGAATTTTAAGTATGAGATTGCTATGGTTTCTATTGCTGATTTTGTTTCTTATAAAATGCACATTTATTTTCAATTCAGGTTTCCGTTTAAAGTTTGGCCCGTTATTATTTAAAGATAAAAGTGAGGAGCGGTAATAATTATATACAAAACAAACGCTCTTCTTTATATAACTTTTTTATTCTTGGTATAGGAACACATATCTCCTTACTGTAAGAAATATTCGTATATGTATGTACATATTTATGTATACAAATATTTTTAAAAAGCCATCATTTCAGTTCTTATACATATCGCAGAGCACTTTTTCCATTGGCGTATTTCCAATTGTACGTTGAAAATATATTAGTTCGATTTTATGAGAATTCACAGTTCGTAAAAGAGGCAGCATCAGGAGTAGACGACCAAATCGTGCGATCTGCGTAAGAAACTGTGATTTTGTGTGTTGAGATAACATGACCTAGAAGAAAATAAAACATCAAATTTGAAAACTTGGAAAACACATATGTAAGAATATTATGAGCTATTGTAAAAAATTAACAAAAGCTTTATTTGTCTGTTCAAATAAAACAATCGCAATATTGGTCAAGTGTAAACAAACTAAAATATGCTATTACTAAAACTGCCAAATGCCTTAAAGGGACGTTCTTAAATACACTCCCGGTGCGACATACTCGACGTTTTGGCAAAAGATTTTACCTTCAGGACCTTGAAACCAACAAAAAAATTTTACAACTATAGTCTAGACACAAGCTTTTTTGAGCATATGAAAACCTGGCAAAATGACAGCGATTTAAAAGGATGAATCAATAACATAAAGAAATCGAGTATCTTTATAGTTTTGTCAGAATCGTGCCAAAACTGAAAGAAAACACAACTTTTGTGAAAACATGTTTAAAGTTGACTGATCGATGTGGATTGGGAATTGGGATCTCTGAATTAAAAAATGTATACACATATACCATTCTCAGACTTATAGTATACGAGATATCTCCGAAGCTGTTGCAATTTTTTCATTAGGGGTGTTTTTTTACGTGGCGGGTCCCAAACCCAGCGCACAACCTTATGTAAGGCATGTTTCGCCTTCTCACGTTAGCTCGCTTTTAAACGGCTGCCCAGAGGATACTTGGTCAAAGACCGGAAGTCGTGAGCTGCTTGAGTCATATGTAAAAGAATCGTTTATAGCCACTCCCAAATGAATGGCGATCAGAGAACTTTCCTCATTTGCGTGAACTTCTACACATGACTCCATCCTCCATCGACTCCATCCAATCGACATGAGTGAGAGTGAGAAAATAGCAGTACTGGAACATGCGTATACGACAAAGCGAAATTGCTAATAGCAGAACCAGTCATAAACGTTACTGCCTTCCTTCCTTTTCCTTCCTTAGCAAGCAAATGTGTGAACAGTTGCGCCGGTGGCAAAAATGCAGAAATCAGCCATATGTGTTTGTTTTCATTTGAACAATGTTGCCATTGCTCAATACGCATATATATTTTGGTACACATCTATGCTTTCAATTAAAATTTTTTATAATATAAAATATGAAAACTGAAAAGAAACTATTAAAAATAGTTTATATATTTATAAATGATAGCATTCGACTCTGATTTTGAGTTATTTTAAGAAAACTTCAAACATATTGAGGACAACTTTTATAATTACTACAGCATTTCGAGATTGGCAACCTTACATTGTGAGAGAGCAATCAGCTGACACGTCTCTACGGCAAAAACCAAAATGCCGTGGATTCCCATTCACGTACATTACGCGCCCATAAGGTAGGTCGTATCGGCTGACACGGGCCACGATTCTACGTTCACCACTGTTTCTGCTATAAAGCGCCGAAACAACGCCAACTAGATCGACGTATCAACGTGAAGCAAAACTACCGAGTGTCTCGTCAGCGAAGTGGAAAAAGATAACGAAGAGAGGAAGCAACGTTAAACGATAACAAACGAACGACATAAAAATCTACGAGTACATATACTGTTACAATTGTGGTGAGATAGGCCACATGTCAAGTAAATGTACGAAGGAGAAGAAACGTTCAAGATGTGCTGATTGTGGTAAATTGCATATACGAAACGAACCGATCAATTGTGGTTGTAAGCAAGTAGGATATAACGTTCGAAAAGCCGATCTGACAGAAGATGAAAAATGTTTTGTTAAGAAAATTAAGGTAAACGGCAGAATTTTTGCAGCGTTAATCGATACTGGTAACGAGTGCAGTTTAGTTCGAAAGACAACGGTCGATATGTTGAGAATTGAACCTGAAGCCTGAAGTGTTATGCATATTTAAATGGAATAAGTGGTGGAAGATACATGATGCGGGAGAGGTGTATGCTCGATATAGTAATTGGTGAAGCAAAGGTCAACGTGCTAGTCTATATTGTTGCAGATAATATGTTGGAAACTGATTTTCTACTGGGTCAAGATGTCCTAACGCGTAAAGGCTTGGTGTTTACGGTGGACAATGGTCAATGAAAGTTGGAACCTGAACGTCGTTATGCTGTTACCTTACTTGATGACGAGTGTTGTACAAAAATAACAAATAATATAAGTAGTGCAGATCAAAGGCGTAAGCTGCAAGAGTTACTAAAAACTACAGTGATGTGTTCTCGAGGGGATTTAATGGCATTGGTAAGTCACATTTAATTGAAATGCAAATTTTGCCAGCTCCAAAGCGAATAATAATTACATAAATGATGAAATATCTCGAAGATAACTATATTATAAAAAAATCCTCATCAGAAGTTGCAAGCCCGATTGTATTAGTTAAGAAAAAAGATGGAAGCGATATACTGTGCGTAGATTACCGTCGTTTAAGTCTCCAAATTTCCGGTTTCAAATATCGAGGAACAACTGCACTAATCTAAGCAATATAAATTTTTTACGATTCTAGATCTAAATAGTGGATATTATCAAATCCCAATCGTACCTGAAAGTCGCAAATACACGGCATTTATAACCCCTGATGGCTTGTATGAATTTAAATGCATGCCATTTGGGTTGAAGGATGCGCCGATTGTTTTTCAACGCTTAATGACAAAGATTAAGGAACAAGTCCACGAAGATGACGTTATGATTTACATGGACGACATCTTGATAGTTAGTCAAACGATCGAGCAAATGCTAGAAAAATTGAATAGAGTTTTGACAGTTTTACGTAGTGCGGGCTTGACGCGATTTTATGAAAAGGATGATTACATTTCTTGGTCACGAGCTAACGCCAGAAGGTATTTCGCCTGATAAAATCAAAACTCAAGCCGTATCCAAGTTTCAGTCACCAGCTAATATAGCAGATATACGCATATTTTTAGGGTTAAACGGGTACCTTAGGAAATTTGTCCCCGGATATGCTATAATTTCAGAGCCGCTACGCAAACTGTTACGAAAAAATCAAAAATTTTAATGGACAAAATTGCAAAAATGCGCATTTGAGCAATTAAAATCTAAAAGAGTATCCCGACCAGTATTCTTAGCATATCGTGCTCGGTAAGGGACTAGTAGAGTCACTATCAGCGAATGTTATGTAAACAAAGCCACAGCTGAGAGGTACCACTGTAGAAACGTCAAGGGGAGTCCGGGGTTGAGTTTCTGTTGGAATCCAAGATGGCCGATTTTTAACCGAAAATGGTTGCATTTCATTATTTTCTAAAAATTAATGGAAAAGTTGTCCCAAAAATATTGGTTATATATAAAACTTTAATATATTTTCAAAAGAAAATATTTATATTTTAAGATATATTTTTAAAGATGAGAACAATATGAGCAAATACATGAAAAATTAAGTTTTTTATGTATGCCTCTTCTTAACTGTGGTAAGTTCACCACAGAAAAATGTTATGAACGAATAAGCAACCATGTCGAATGGTGGGGTCCAGAATGTGCTCATTTACACTGATATAAATATTTTTGTCATCATAACGCAGGTTTTTGCAAAACAATTTGTTTTAATTTATTTCATGGGACAATCCTTTACTATGGTTTATTTATAATATTTATTTTCCATTGGGAAGATAAATAACAGGTCGACTGAGATTTTACTCCAATAAAAGTACGAAATAACTAAACATGCCTTCGCTAATATTGCTGCGTAATGTGTCAGGTGCTGTTCCAATTTTATGATTTAAGAGATGAAAAGCGATACTCAAATGTAGCTATCAACTTAGTTGGTATTGAGTTCGAAACAAAATTTTAAATTCAATGACGTGCGTTCTTATAGAATCAGCAAAGAAGCTGGTGTACAACATTTCATTATTTGTCTGCCTTAAAAGCTAGTCCCAAAGCAATGAACTTTGTGCTTGAGGAAAGAGCAAATACTACGGTGAATGTGCTGTTCGGATGTTGCTCAAGCTATTGTCAACTACGCTAAGGATCCCGATCAAGCTGTTGGGTATGTTTTGAGCAAAATTGAATTTACATACTTTCTAATATGCTAAAACTCAACACCCGCCTTGCAGACCAAAACGTTACCAGTTGAGCGAATTAATTGATTTCATTTTGGTGTACAATTGACCTCCATGGAAGAGCCAGTACCATGGCAATTACGACCATATCGTGCTGCGCAATATTATAATGCCGAATTGGGAGAGTAGGAGGAACCAGCTCCACCAAAATCATCGAGAAGACCTACGTATGTTTGCATAAAACTACTATAATGGCAGCAACGTTAACAACAACACCCAAGCAAATAATAAACAACACTCCTCAAATGAAAGTTGATGGCGTTGGTGGCCAAGCAGCGATTTGAAAAGAAACGTTTGCATCTACGCGAATTGCAATTTGGTCGATTATAAACGATTTGGAAATTGATAATTAAACTTTAAAAAGCAAAAAAAATGTAATAATGATTAATAATGAACCGCTGTTAAAAATTAAGGAATATGAGTTGTATTTTTATTTTGGCCAAACAAGTTATTATCGATTAGGATAATTTCAAATGGAGTATATTTCGAACAATAATTTTTTTGTTTTCAAATATGATGCCAGTATTGCTATTGAGCATGGCAAAATAGTGTTGCGTAAGCGAATTTAAACTACTTTTTACTACTATAGACAAATACTTCATTTGGGAACGTGTAGGATTCCTGATCGCCGGTGTATAGCTAAATTCTGACACATAAAAAGTGTATGTAGTTTGTGATTACAAAAATGTATACTTAAAATATAAACTTGGCTATTAGAATTATATCTTTATTTATCTTACAATAAAAATTGTGTTTTACTCTTCAGCCGAATTATTATGATATGTAATTCCAAATTTTTCGACAATAGTTGTCTCTTTTGGTCCACTCATTATCGAAAATAATTTCCACTTTGTTCATGAATATTTATTTATTTATTTATTATTTGTAAAATAATAATACAATTATTATTATACATTAAACATAAGGAGCACTAGCTACAGAGGATTTCAGCTCACGGTTTTAATATAAACGACTTAAATAATAAAG